TCAAGCGCATCTGCCCGGGTGGACAAGTCGGCAAATGTACCACGCTCGCATTTCTTGCAGCTCCTCCACCTTGCTATCTACGACCATGCTTTGCAGTTTGTTGACTACGAGAATGATCTGGTGCTGCTCCACGTACTCTTGGCCAAGCTCGTGAGTCAGCTTGGTGTCAATGCTGCCAAGTTTGGTATTCCCATGATCTTCAGACTCCAAGAGGATATCCAAGACGTTGAAACGCCCCTTGGAAAGGTCCGCATTGGCAGCTTGGTACATGGCTACCTCTGGACTTTGACCGAGAAGTTTGACTGCGAAGGAACCGCTCCCGGGAGCGCTATCCACGGCGAGATTATCAGGCGTCGCAGCAAGAACTTTTGGGTTGAGGGTATCAACATTCCCGCTCCTGCCGTTGATCTCGTAGGCACACCGGGTCAGGCACGCCCCCCACCACAGATGAACATGCGGGATCTCGAGTCCGAGGCGCTTTTGCCGTTCGATGAGCGCGCATCCCTGGTAGACTGCATCTGCACAGGCTATCAGGAACTGGCAACCTCCCCTCCTACAAGCCCGACCACTAGTCCCGGTCGGAACTTCACCCACCCGATGCTCGGGTCGACGTTGAGCTCGACCCCCAAGGATGAGACTCAGCGGGAAGTCCCAGCACAATTTCGCGAGTTGATGCTCGGCGACTGGACACGCGAAGCAGTGCTCGCCAACACGCAAGCCGGCAGCAGCAAGACCGCCTCGCTCAACGGCTCGCGATCCGGCACAAACGGTACTCACCGCAACACTGTCAACAACAACAACAACCGCCTCGGTGTAAACGGCGTGACCTCACCAAACGGCAGCAACTCCAACCTCCGCCCTTCGTCTTCCCCAACAGGCGCCAACGGCGTCCAAGCGGGCAGGACGCGCAAGACCAGCATCCGCAGCAACGGCGGCGGCTCACCCGCCCTCTCTACCTACAGGGCCAAGGCCCAACAGCCAGTCACGTCCGTGGAGCAGCTCAAGGCTGTTCTGTCAGGCCACCTCCAACCCCCGCCGACCTCGCACGGCATCGGATTCCAGCATTCTGATGATAGCGACGATAGCCTCGTCAGCTATGACATGGCGCCTAGCGAGCTGTCGTTCAACCCAGCCGCCGCTGGCAGCAGGCAGGGCTCACCCGGTAATACCAGTCAGGCCGCTTCCAGCCCGCCACGCCGCACATCCCAGGATCGGACTCAGCAGCTGAAGTTCGGAGGGCCGCTGGTTCCGGGAGAGGAGAGCGTCGTCAACGGTGCTGGTGGTCAAGAAGGATCCAACGGCGCCGCGGGTAACCTCGGCGTCCCCATCTCGCGAACTACTTCCCGCACTCAACCCCAGGCTACTACTGCGCACACCCATCCGAGGCCATCAACTTCCTCCAAGAGAAGCATCAAGAGCCGAGCGGGCTCTCGCGCGGGACCAATGTCCTCGTCCTGGCTGGGAGAGAAGCCTCCGGCTATGGACCTGGCGGCTTTGTTGAAGGGAATTGATAGTGCTTCGATTAGCGATATCAAGAGTCTGGGGGCTGGGGGGAAACCTCCTTACTAAAACGATTAAGAGGAAATAGGAGGGAGGGAAGCTGATGGGTGGTGTTGAATCTGGGAAGGGAAAGGAAAAACAAAAAACATACATCTTTTAACGGGGTCTGGTGTCATTTTTTGTTTTTCGTTTTCTTTGTCTTTTGAGACTTATTTATTGACTCTGTTATTCCTTTTTTTTTTTTTTTTTTTTTTTTTTTTTTTTTTTTTTTTTTTTTTTTTTTTTTTTTTTTTTTTTTTTTTTTGACTTCTCTATTTAAAGTTGATTAATGGGGTTTGAACTTTTGGAGCTGGAGCAGAAGCGGCATGAAGGGAAGATGGTGAGGTTGGGGGAGGAGGAAGGAGGTTACGGAAGGGGAGTATATCGTTAGTGGGATAAGTTACTAGCGTTGTCAAAAAAGGAATCTTTTTATGTGTCTTCAGTTGTTCTTGTTCTTGTTCTTGTTCTTTTGTTCTTAGAGAAAGGGGCGCGCGCGGGGGCGGATATATTGGTATACTGCTACTCACCTTTTCATGTTCTTTTGTCATCACCATGTTACCTTATCTCTTTACTGACTGACTTGGTGGTTTCACTTGGCTCATTGGCTTGAGCTCCGGTTTTTTTCTCTTTTTTGTTGTGCTGAGCTATCAGCTAGAAGTAACTTTATGTACATTGCCGAGCTACCTACATTTTCTTTTCATTGCGTGGGGGGAGAGAGATAAATGTAAGACAAAACAAAAGAGATATGAATATGGAAGGGACTGAACCGTCTATCTACTTCTTCTCCCTGGGGAACTGTTTACATCACTAGATGTAGTGCCAAAGACTTGCGTATTCCTTAGTAGATATCATGAACTCTGGAAGGTTCAGAAGTTCGTTCATGATCGCCAGGCGCATAACTATCACCGAATCTGACACAAAGAAACGATATAGACCAGCTTTTCAATGCTCCATACTTTTATATATACCTGGATACCATGTACAGCTCAACAAACAATACCCTTATAATACAATACAGTTCAGAAACCATAACATACAACCTTCCTCCCCGCACCGTATCCATACCTAACCATACAAACCCACCACGACCTCACAACCAAAACTGTACTATAGCTTTGCCTTGTTGGCACTCACATCCGTCGCCCCCTGGCCCGCGCACAGCAACACCGCGCTGCCCAACTGCCTCCTCAAATCGACCTTTTCAACATCGTGCGTGTCTTCCACCTCACCCCACTGCGTCGTCTGCCAGTCCACCTCCAAACTGACCGCCTTGGCCGCTTCCTCAACCCCCCACCTCTTTTTGTTGTCTTGGTGGGTGGTGTTCATCTCCTCCTCCTCTTCAGCAGCCGGAGGAGTCTGAACAACCGCATTGCCCCCATCCCCACTCCACTCCACCACCAACCTCGCAGCGACCAACAAGCTCTTGCCCGCCAGCGTCGCCCTCTCCAGTGCCGCCAGCTCCCACGCGGACAAGCCCAACATCCACCCCTGCACCACCTCGCGCGTGCCCGGTTCCTGCTGGCGGGGCATGATGCTCGTTTCGTCGAGGACGGGCACGATGGTCACGCCCGGCCAGACGCGCGTCGTCAGAAAAGAGACGACGGAGCTGTACGCTTCCTCTTGTACTTCCCTAAGGGTATACCCGGCTTCGTTCCGCCCGTCCTCGGGGTGCTCGGGCGCGGGCGCCCAGCAGAGGAGGGAGTCGGTGTCGAGGTAGCGGAGCAAGACGGTTGCGATGGCGTTGCGGATGTCCGTCTTTCCCAGGCTGTCTTGGTCGGCGATGTCGAGTGCTCTGCAGACGAGAGAGGTGAGGGGGATGAGATGTTGCTTGGTCGCTTGTTGCGCAGACACGAGCTGGTCCCATTCGATGGCGAGCGCCGAAGCGAGCGAGGGCTTGGTTAAAGGCAGGCGGATGATGGATTTGGTGTCGGGGCGGCGGAGCGGGCGCGAGTCGAGGTGGATTTCGTTCATGTCGTTCTTGGTCGCGACGTGGACGGATTTCCAGAAACGCCGCTTGAGGCCGATGCCGCCCGGCGCGGAGGAGGAGCCGGCCGTTGGGGGCAAGGTGGCGGCGCGCAGCATGGCGGCTTGCCGCTTGCGGCGGGAGATGCGGGACCAAGGGTCGGCGGCGGTGCCTTCTTTGATTTCGGGAATGGCGCCGCTGTTGTGGGAGGGATGGGTGGAAGATGAGGTGCTGGAGGCGAACTCGGCGGCGGGCTTGGGTGGCTCGGGAGGGGGGCCGGTTCCGTAGACGGGTACAACCTTGGCTTGCTCGGGTGGGCTGGAGTGGATTGCGCGGGCGCTATTGCGGTAGGCTAGGAGACTTCGGGAGGAGGGGAGAATGGCGGCGCGCTGGCGGAGGAGAGGAGCGGCCAGACGTATCCGCATCGCGGCGGCGGCGGCGGGCGTCATGGTGTTTTGGGCGTTTCGGTCTGCTTAATTCGAGGTACTTGCGGCAGGAAGTGGGTGAGTAAAGCTTCGGGTCGAGGAAGGCAAGGCCTAGCCACTCGTCTAGGAATCGGACAAGGGTTGTTGAGCGGTGATTGTTGCCGTGGCCGAGGCTGCTGTCGTCGTCGTCGGCGGTGGATGCTGCTGGACGGAAGACGATCGTCGGAAAGATTAAATTGGAGCTCCCGAACAAGACGCAGGCCGATCGCAAAGAATGGAACATTTTCGCCAAGCCTTTGGCGCAAGTCACCTCAACCCGGCCGGTTCCCCCGCCCCGTCCCGCACTGGACGTTTGTAAGCGCGCGAATCCACTCCACTTCCCCTGCGCCGGTCCCCCACCGCCCACCGGAGCGGTGCACGGTGTAAGGGTGGGGTCAGCCGTTCCGGTGGGCCATAATCTCCGATAAGCTGTAATGACATCACTATCTTTATAGTCCTGGTCAATTATCGCGGTTCACACCTTCAGTTCCAGTTCACAGTATTAAGGGATTTAGAGTTGCGAACGACAGTGTTGATGATGAAGACAGTCTATTGAGGGTATTGATGGAAAGCAACATAGGTACATTTTCATTATCCAAATTACCCATAGCTTCCGGTATCCCATTGTCAACCGACCTCTTAGCGGCGGCAATGACTACAATCAGGGTCGGAGATATATAAGCCTTGCGAATGTTCAAAGATGACAACATCATCGACCCTGATTCCCGCGTTGAGGGGGGCAGTTAGTAACTTCATCTCATAGACCACGGCCCTGGAAGTTGCCCGGCCGCCTACCATTGACGCCGGGTCGAAAACATAATTTGCCCTTCCCTCCTATCATTCAACACCCCCGATCGGGACAGATAGTGAGCTAAGCAATTTGATGAAACATTTAATTGGCCAAAATCACAGGTCAAGCCTACCAGTTCGATTCTCCACAACGGCACTTTCAGACGGGGGTGCCCGATTCCGCCGGTCGGACTGTCAATAGCCCCTCTCCTTTCTCCTCCTCCCCTCCCTCCCCTCGCCTTTCCCCTCTGGACTAAGGAACATGTATACACCAAGACAACGGCGATGCGACGCAACTACGGTACGATAATCGGCAAATGGTAAACTACCGAGAATGTGGCTGTGCGGGTAATGGGGATTCTGCGTGACCATTGTTCCATTCTTTTTCCTTTTTTTCTGAGCTGTTCTTTTTTTTGCGTCGAATATCTCATGTTTGTGACAGTATCCCTCTCACTGCCTTCGCAGCTTTTGAAAGAATCGGGTAGTGATACGAAATTGATGGATGCACGTTATCTTGCAGACTCACAGTCATGAGATAGTAAATTGACCTCCAGGGACGTCCCTGACACTGCATCTTAGATCGACTAGAGAGCCACGAGCAAGGCCGTTGCGGAAATGAAGGCTACCTTTGGAAGCCTTGAAATAGGACAGTGCTTCACATAAGCTATCTCGTCGCTCGGATAGCACTGCCGGTATTTGACAAGCCGGAGGGTTGCGGGCTTTCGCTCATGTTGCTGACTGGAGTCAACAATGCGGTTTCTTCGTCTTGTGTGGATGTCTTTTGACTTTTACGGCGAGCAGCCTTTGGACCATGCTCTACTTCTTCTGTTCCGAGTTCCTCAGAGTCACGCTTGCGAGCGGTTGGTCGGGCATTCTTTTGAAGAGCGGGGGCTGGAAGATGTGGGAACAGGAGCGTTGAAGGTGCCAATCCTTGCCCCACTAACAATGGCGAGGGTGAGGAACGTTCGGTGTGGTTACTCTTCGATCGTAGGGGTGAGCTGGTAGAGGGCGCTAGCAGAGAAGCCGATTGCGTCCTGATTGGAGTGTGAGGACATTCCATGTCCTCGTCGTTAAACCACGACGGCGGCGGACTAAGCGGTGACATAGGCGGCGAGCCTGGCGACACATCTGGTAATCCGGAAGGAACATGGCGGATATCTGCAGCCTTCTTGCGCTGGTTGATCGGTGTGAATTTGGTCGCCATTTTGCTGTCCTGATACAGTTGCTCTATTGGGAAAGATGTGAAGATGAGAATTCGGTATTGCTAGACTGTTGGCCTGTTTTTGCTCTTCATATTCTGACCAGTGTGGCAGGGAGCTTTCTTTCTTTCTTTCTTTCTTTTTTTTCTTTTTCAAGGGCCTGAGTTGATTTCCTCTCTTTTGTAATGTGATTTTTCTGGAGATTAGTTGCTTCTGATCGTCTGAAACCTAAGGGAAGAGAAGAAGTCAGGGAAACATCGCTGCGTGTTCACTCCTTCCCAATGCGATGGGTCACGGTAGAAGAATGATTATTGCAAGGAAAGAACACACTGCTGAAATGGTCTGGAGGGCAAGTCAAAAGGGTACCAGCGTAAGTTGCCCTGACAGATGCATAGTAGCTCGCTCTCACCGATGCACTTGTTCGTCATCATCAGTACTTACAATTACGCATGTAAACCATGGAGCTTTGCTTCGCGCATACGACATAGTGGTTGATGAGTCCAGCTTGACATATAAGAAGTACGTACCGGGATTTCAGTTCTGGTGACGACTATCACGTAATTCGTCGTCCTCAACCGAACGTGCCAACAGCGGTGCTTTCCCCGAGACCATGTTGCCAACCAAACAGAAGCATGTAGGAGACGTCTAAGTGCGGCCTGCGGTTATCAACTCCGAAATCAAATATAAGCTTACAAGTTGAAGCGTGCTTGACCGAAGATGGCGCTCGAATCCATTATTCACGCGTGGTCACGATCTTGGCACATAACAGAAGTTCCATAGACAAAAACATAACATTTGTTGAGGCGGCCGTCAATCATGACAGTTGGTGCCCCGATGGTGGCCCGACATCTCGAGAGGAAATTTAACGCTCCAACAACACGGAGGCTTTGTACAGGATTTCATATCGACGTGTCGGCGCCTGGTGCGACCAGTGGAGTTGTGTTGCATCAATTCCGGTATTCCGCTTGATACAGCGGAATGTTGAGATGAACGGCTGCACTTGCAACTCGCACAACGACGAACTGTGTGGGTCATTTGCCTAACACAGTTCCGCAAAATGGATGCCGTGTGGGGTGGTCGGCGATGCGGTGACGGTTTCGGCCGTCTCTCGGTCCCTCCGCTTACTCTTTTCCAGTCAATGAAAAGAGACATGGCAAAGACTACAAAGACGAATATAGGTAGTGAGGGCATCGTGAGATTGCAAATCGGCTCAAGTAGTAGTGTTGTTGATACCGGAAATGGTGTACCGCGGTATACCTAGGTAATGTACATGGACGAAATAGGAAGAAGAGTGGGTCAGCTTTCCCCAGATCGAAACTCTGATAGCCGAGGCCCGATTTGGGGGAAACCGTTGCCTACGAACCTGCTGATGTGGGGAAGTGGGGATACGTTAACGGTAGAAGCGGAAAGTTCAGTGCGGAATTGTGGTCTCCCTCACTGCATCATGTAGCAGCCGTGGATCATGGCCGGGACCTCCAACCGCGGCCAAGACTCGGACAGATGGCGGAAACAACTCGGTGGTGACGGGACTGATGGAGATGGAGGTGGAGGGCGACTGAATGGGAAATGGGCGCGGAAAAGGCGCGCAACTTGATGGATTCCTTTTTCCCCTCCTGTGCCCTTTCCATCTCTTTTCTTTTACCAATCTCCCGTCCCTCATTCAGTCTCCATCTCTGTCCGCCCTCCCAGGTCACCCTTGACAAACAGCCGCAGGACTGAACTTCCGTCCGAGTCCCTTTCCTCCGCCATACTCTCTCTACTCACCAACACTTCAGAATGGTCTTCTATCCTCCGCCTTGGGTGCCCAAGCTCCCCTTCGGTACGTTCCAGCCCGGCCATCCATGACCGGCTACTTGTCGGCTCTAGCCGTGCCTCCACTAACGACAACCAGACCCTCCCGACTCAGTCACCATTGGTGAGTTTATGAAGAATGAAGTCTACGGCCGTCGCCCCATCGACAAGAGCAAGAACCCTTGGACATGCGGTCTTACCGGCAAGACATATACCGTGAAGCAGGCCTTTGAGAGGACAGAGCTCCTTGCAAAGGCCCTCCACAAGCTAATGGGATGGGAGCCCAACGCCGACTTAGCCTGGGATAAGGTCATCTGCGTCTTTTCTTACAACACCATCGACTACATTTCCGTCCTTCACTCGGTCCATCGCTTGTCTGGCATCGCAACTCCTGCCAACGTCGCATACAACGCTAGTGAACTCGAGCACCAACTTCGCTCTTCTGGCGCAAAGTGCCTGTTCACATGTCTGCCCGTCCTGGAGACCGCCCTCCAGGCCGCCAAGGCCGTGGGCATCCCTGAAGACAGGATCTTCCTGATGGAGCTGCCTCACCATTCCAAGAAGCTTCCCTACAAGACCGTCGACGACCTCGTTGAGCTCGGCCGCTCCGTACCCGACCTCGAGCCGCTCCAATGGACCAAGGGTCAAGGCGCGCGCCAAGTCGCATTCCTCTGCTTCTCGAGCGGCACCTCTGGTCTTCCCAAGGCCGTCATGGTTTCCCACAGGAACGTGATTGCCAACACGATGCAAATCAGCTTATTCGAAGATTACGGTCGCAAGAAGAAGGGTGTCAAAACACAAGTCGAGCTCGGATTGCTACCCTTCAGCCATATCTACGGCCTTGTCGTGGTCGCTCACTGTGCCCCATGGCGCGGCGACGAGGTCATCGTTCTACCCAAGTTTGAGTTTAACGAGTTCCTTCAGGCCATTGAAAGATTCAAGATCAACTACCTCCCGCTGGTACCCCCCATCATTGTTCGTATGTTGAGCAGCAGGGATACTGTCAAGAAATTCGACTTGAGCAGTGTCCGCCATGTCTTTACGGGCGCCGCCCCTCTCGGAAAGGAGACACAGGACGAGTTGCGCAAACTGCTCCCCAAATGGAAGGTTGGCCAAGGTTATGGCTTGACGGAAACGGCAACTGTCGTTAGCGCAACAAGTGAGCATGATATTGTGCAGGGCACATCAGGCTCTCTGGTCCCTGGAGCCAAGGTCAAGATCATCGACCAGGATGGAAGGGAGGTTACAGAGTACGGAAAGCCTGGTGAACTTCTCGTCCAGTCGCCATCCGTTACTCTTGGATATCTCAACAACGAGCGTGCCACCAGCGAAACTTATGTCTTTGACGAAGATGGAAGGTGGATGCGAACGGGAGATGAGGTTATCGTGACCAAGTCGCCGGCGGGATACGAACATATCACTGTCGTTGACCGTCTGAAGGAGCTGATCAAGGTCAAGGTACGTACAGTAAATTCCACCGCACTCCCAAATTGTGGGGCCCAAGTACTGACATATGATGCTTTCAGGGACACCAAGTTGCGCCCGCCGAGCTAGAAGCCCATCTCCTCTCTCACCCCGCCGTAGATGACTGCGCTGTCATTGCTGTGCACGACGATCGCGACGGAGAAGTGCCAAAGGCCTTTGTTGTGACACCCGCTTCCATGTCGTCCCGCCCTGACGCGGAGATCGCGGCTGAGATTATCAAGCATGTGCAGGAGCACAAGGCCCACTACAAGTGGCTCAAGGGAGGTGTCGAGTTCATTGATGCGATTCCCAAGAGCCCAAGTGGAAAGATCTTGAGGCGCTTGTTGAGAGATAAGGATAGGGAGACCAGACGGGCTCAAGGTGCTAAACTCTAAATGAGGAAGCAGTAGTAAAAACAATTTCAAGAAAGCGTTGTTGGGGATATCATGTCGTTGGATACCTTTGAGATGCTTGATATAGGGAAGAAAATGGGTCGCGTTAAGATATCCAAGCAGTTAGCATGAATGATGATACCATGAAAAACCAGTGTTGTGGACAAAGTGGCTGATCTTCTGCTTCTGTAGCAAATCCATTTGCATTCAGGCTTACCGGGTATCGGCCTCTCTTGAAGATATTGGACCTTGGTTAAGTAATAAACGTCAAAATCGGTTACTATTAGTAATATTTAGATAAGCTATTGCTCTCTTTCAAGATTTGAAAGCCATTGTACCAGTTTTGTGTAAGTCGAGGTGTGTTGATGGAGTTGGCACTGCTAATGCATGCTCAGACTCCAGCCAAAAGTTATGTCGTCATAGGCTGTACTGTCCCGCAACAACAATATGATCCTACAAAATAGTAGCCATGATTTTCATAGGCAAGGAATATCGGGAAAAATAAAGAAAACATCACTATAAAACATATTGCGTCCATCGATCGGTCTCTTCTAGAGGTCTTGGCCACCTCTCCCCTTTTCGGAACACGGCATTGACTTTTCACTACCAAACACGCCTACATAGTTCACCAACTTGACCACTTCCCTAGACCCACATTTCACTCATACCCATAATGTCACTAAGCCGTCACGTAAGTTTGAGCTTCAACAACTCAAATTCATTGCAAATTGTTAACTTGCACAAACTCTACAGGTTGACCCCGAGGAGATCATCCATCACCTCAAGGACATCAAGCTCCAAGAAAAGGGCAGTGGAAGCCAGAGGCAGAATCACCTTACACCCTACAACAGCTCCTACGCCAGCCAAGAAGACATTCCCAAGTACAAGATCCCCGAGAAAGGCACTCCAGGAGACACCGTCTACGCCATGCTCAGGGACGAGCTGGACCTAGACGGCAGGCCAAATCTCAACATGGCCAGCTTCGTCAACACTTATATTGAGAAAGACGCCCAGAAGCTCTTTGTCGAGAACCTAGGCAAGAACCTCTCCGACAATGACGAATATCCCGCCATGATCTCCTTCAGCGACCGCTGCGTCAGCATCCTCGCCCATCTCTGGGGTGTCCAAAAGGGCGAAAAGGCCATTGGCACCGCCACCGTCGGCTCCTCGGAAGCCGTTCACCTCGGCGGCTTAGCCATGAAGCGTCGATGGCAGGAGAAGCGCCGGGCCGAGGGCAAAGACGCCTACAAGCCCAACATCATCATGGGCGCCAACGCGCAAGTCGCTCTGGAAAAGTTCGCCCGCTACTTCGACGTCGAGGCCCGTATCCTGCCCGTCTCGGCCCAGAGCAACTACTGCCTGGACCCAGCTTTGGTAAAAGAGAACCTGGATGAGAACACCATCGGCGTCTTTGTCATCCTCGGCAGCACTTATACAGGCCACTACGAGCCCGTCGAAGAAATCCACAAGATCCTCGATGACTTTGAATCGCAAACAGGCATCGACATCCCCATCCACGTCGATGCCGCCAGCGGGGGGTTCGTCGCCCCCTTTACCCACGCCAAGACAGGCGGACAGAAATGGAACTTTGAGCTTCCCCGCGTCAAGTCCATCAACGTCTCGGGTCACAAGTACGGCCTAGTCACGCCCGGTGTAGGGTGGATCGTGTGGAGGGACGAATCCTTTTTGCCCAAGCATTTGATTTTCGAGCTGCACTACTTGGGGGGAACCGAGTACAGCTACACGCTTAACTTCTCGCGCCCCGGTGCGCAGGTCATTGTGCAGTATTACAATCTCATCCACCTCGGGTTTCAGGGGTATCGCGCCGTGGTGGAGAACTGTCTCTCCAATGCGCGCTTGTTGTCCAAAGCGCTGGAGGCGACAGGGTGGTATACCTGCGTTAGCGATATTCATCGGCCGCCGCAAAAGCAAGAAGGTTCTGTGAAGTCTGGGTCGAGCGGTTATGAGAGGAAGAACGATCAGAGCGGCTCCGAGAGCCAGAATGATGACCAAAAGGCCGAAAGTGAAGAGTCCAAGACCCATGCCTCTTCTTCTTCGTTGTCGTCAAAGGACACCCCCGAAACGGACAAAAACCGCGAAGAAACCTCCGCCGACTACACCCCCGGCCTCCCCGTCGTCTCGTTCCGCTTCACCGACGAGTTCCAGCAAGAGTACCCGCACGTAAAGCAAGAAACCGTGTCCCTTTTGATGCGCGCCCGGCAGTGGATCATTCCCAACTACGCTTTGCCGCCCAACGAGGACCAGACGGAGATTTTGAGGGTGGTGATTCGCGAGTCGTTTTCGTTTGATTTAATCGATAGGCTTGTTACGGACTTGGTGAGGGTTACGGAGACGCTGAGGGAGAACGATGAGGTTGATTTGAGCTTGTTGCAGCAGCATCAGGGGGGACGGAGGAGGCCAATTACGAAGGACGATAAGAGAATAGAGAAGGAGGAGAGGGAGGGGGAGGAGAGAAAGGGGGAGGAAAGGGGGGAGGAGAAGGGGAAGAGGATGGGAGAGGGAATCCATAGAAGTGTTTGTTAAAGCTGGGTCTGGTCGTAATGGTTGACTGTAACGGGAAGGTTTGAGATCGAGCGGCATGTTGATAAAACAACAACCGCTCGTTCAGAGCAATGGTGAACCGTATGAATGTCTCGTTCTGTCGACTGGAACGTTCCCAGATACCATATAGGTAGACCGGCTACTAGAATGTGAAGACCCCTTTTCGTATCTTAGCACACCGTTCCCGATCCGGACAGGCAATAGGTTTTTTTTTATGTTTTGAGTTTTCGAGACTCAATCGGTAGACCACTGTGCCATCTAACCAAGCGGTTGTTGTTGGAAGGAGGAACCAACCAGGTCCCTTATATGGTCATTAGGGTGGGGGGTTATATCGGATGAAGGAGTGATAGGGAAGGCACGGCGGATGCGGTAGGTGCGGCAGGTGCGGCCGGCAGCCGGCAGCCGGACTCTGGAGTTCGAATGACAGACGAGGGCGGGAAGCGGCAATGAACTGTACCTACCTCAGATACTTTAGTGGACGATTCCATCGTCCTCCATCATCGTCGTCGAGTTACCTACCTCGGAATGTTTACCACCCCTCCTCTTATCCCAACCTAAACGGATTCTCAATCACCTAAAAACTCGGACGCCTACAATGTCACTCCTCAGACCGGATCGTCTCCCAGAACGCCCCAAATCCCCCCTCATCCTCGCTCGTGAAGCAGCCGAGGGTAAATCCAGAGTCATGAGCATCGATGCCGAAGCCGCCCGCACCCGCCTCGCCTTCGACAGCATGGGCTTCGACTTCAAGCTCTAGTACGGCAACGATGGCAAGGTCCGCCTCAACATTACCAGGCAGCAAGGAACCTCGCCCGACAGGCGCCTCAACGTACCCGTACCCCTACCAGGAACCAGAACCCCCGAGTCCTCCATTTCCGGGAGGTCTACCCCTACGAACGCATCCCCTCCCCGGTTAGCCACGCCAACACCCACGCAATCGCAACTGCAACTGCAACCGCAACCACAACCCTTTCTCTCCTCAGGCCGAGGCACAAGACTCAACATCGTCATGCTCGCCGTAGGCTTTGCAGACGATGTGCGCCACTTCACCGCCGTGGCTGTCTGGCTGCGCGACAAGTTTGGCCATCGCATCAGGGTAGCCACGCACCCGGACTACCAGGCGCAGGTCGAGGGTTGCAGGCTCGAGTACTTCAGCCTGGACGGCCGCTGCAAACAACACGGAGGACAATACGGAGGAGGATGTGGTGACTATGATGCTTTTGATGCTCAGGAATGGATCAAATCTCGCGGGCCGGCCGAGAGAGAAAAGTGGAGGGAGTCGGTGTATGCGATGCTGGAGGATTCGTGGAGGGCGTGCGTTGCGCCGTTTAGTGATGGGAGCCCGTTCATTGCGGATGCGATTGTAGCTTGCCACAAGGAGTTTGCGCATCTGCATTGTGCAGAGAAGCTGGGTGTTCCTGTTCATGTTCTTTCTCGGTAAGTTATGAGTTTGGCTACTAATGGGGTTGATACTGATGTGTTGGCTTGTACAGATGGCCCTGGAGCCCAACCTGCAGCTTTCCTCATCCTCTTGTATGTGTCAAGATCTGTGAAGCCAAACGGAACCTGGCCAACCTCTTCACATACAGTATCATGGAGATTATGCTTTGGTGCGAAACGGGTGAGACTATCAACAAGTTCAGAACAGAGGTCCTAGAGCTTGACCCGATAGACTTTCTAACCGCAGTCGGCATGCGACACCGGTGGAAAATACCCACTACTTACTTTAGATCCCGCACCCTGCGAGAGAAGCCTGACGACTGGGAGCGTCATATTTACTCCTTTGGCTCGTTCGAGGAGACAGCAGTTTCCGTACATAGGCGGCTGCTCGAAGACTGTCAGCCCTGTTCGCTTGTCAGCGGGGAGCTTGCGTCGTTGATGGCAAGGACCAAGTACACTCCAGTTCCTCTGTCACCCGTCAGCGCAGTGGCCGTTGTTCTGGGCGGAGCCTCGGAGATTGAAGAACTGCAACCGTATGTTTCCCTTTTGGATATGTTTCCCTTGCCGCCAGTAACCAGCTTCCCTACCTAGGTATCATTCCCGAAGATGGCAACTTTCGAAACATCGGCCAGACCTTAATCCTGATACCGTGTCAGGGGTCCAGAGGAATATCGTTCTCGGTCATCTAAGCCAGATTTCACCCATTGTCATCACCGAGATCTTGGCCCGTGACTTTTCCCGAATCCATGGGCATCCCCACGGCAACAGCTCAGGAAACATCAATGGCTGGCAAAGCGGGATAATTGCTGCTGGACGAGTAAGCTGCGCGTTTTTGTCCGAGCGATTTTGGTAGGAAAGGCACTCACCACATCACTAGAAACTGAGCCAGAACCTCTGGGACGGTCTCTCTGGTGTTTTCACCAGGCCCATCGCAGGCGCGCGCGAGGAGGGGACGGTCGGGTTTCTCAAAGGGTTCGGTCAAGGCCTCGGCGAGCTGGTGATGAAGCCAACGACCGGCGCTCTCGAAGCCCCTGGGTTCATCTTTCTCGGTTTCTACCGAGAGCTGGAAAAGCTAGGCAAGGCGGATAGCAAGGCTCAGATTGTCATGGGCCGCCTGGCGCAAGGAGAGGGAGAATATGTGAAGCTGCATAAGAGTGAGAGACAAAGGATCGTGACGGCCTGGCGCGTGTGTGAAGGCATGGCGAAGGGGGCGGCGGAAAATGCAGCAGAGCGGTAAGCCGTGGCCTCCTCAGCAGAGATATAGCCTAGACAATATCACCATGTTTCGCTTGACGTTGGTCTCTCAGCTTGCGATGTCCGATTCTCGTGAAACATTATGATCTTGCCGGTTACCCATGAGATAATATCATGATACCGATGACCGCCCGGACCAGGGGCATCCCAACTTCCCATCAGCCGAATGGCGAACTTCAAACTCCCGAGGGCTACGTAACTTTGTTATCACGCACCTCCTTTGCCGAGCCTACCCATCGTGCTTACGAGTGTAGATTGTTATCTCACACAAAAAGCGCCGAGACTAATAACCGGCTCCGTCTTTGGGGCTCCGCCCTCGCCCGGGCCCGCCACGGGACTGGAACCATACTGGAGCCGCTGGAGTTGCTGGAGACGTTGGAGCTCACGGGGGCGGAGATGGGAATGGATTCAAGTATGGATTGCCCGTGCATCACTGCGGAGACGGGCCACCGCTTGGGGTAAAGCCTGGGGAATCTGGGTGGACTCGGTGGAATTTCCCCTCTTCAACGTGTTGATTGCAGCCAATGCCCCCGGATATACTGGAGAGGCAGCGTCCACAGGGCTTCCAAGCAGCGGAAAGCAAGGAATATGACTCGTATTGACAGGTTTGACAGCCTGCGCTCGCCTGTCCCCCGCGCGGACGAGCATGCTAGATATGCGTGGGGAGAGCTCCTCAGACTCCGTCGCGGCGTGGGCTGAAAGGGGAACAACCTTGGAGAAATGGGGTGCTGTCAAACGTTGTATAAAACAAAGGCAGAAAAAGGAGGGGCCCCGTGTTTTGGGGGTGGAGGACATTGTGGTTCCCACTGCGATATGCAATCATTAATCAGAGTTTGGGGGGGTGAGGGAGGTGACTGAGGGGAAAGCAAAAGCATGTGAGGAGGAGAAAGGTGGCTTTTGTTTTGTTTGGGTCTGTAATGTCCCTAATTTTTGTCCTTTATTCTCATGGAAAAAGAAAGAGAGACGAGAACCTCAATGGATACCTACACACATATCAACGTCGAAAACAGTCCAACGAGGCTCGTAATGAGGCTCAATCGCCCTTTGAGCCCGTGTCCTGGCCGTCTTACACTACACTACATGACCCTAGCCGATCTTTTCTCGATGGACGGACGGTGAAAGGGGAGATGTCGTTGCTGTTGTATCGAGATGCCTTTCTGGGTTTAGTGACATCTTCTTTCCTCTTGCAAGACGGATCACAAGATGTAACACTGGGGAACTGGCCAGCGCCCGACACCTCTCTAGCCAGTCATCAACCAGCGCCCGGCCGAATGTGGGGAGAAGAGGTTTCGGCAGACCGCGGTAAAACACGCTGGTTGACCAATTCAAGCTCTTCCGTCTGAGCGACGGCGGCCACGGTCGAGCCGAGTTGGGGTCGGGTGCTACACTAGTCAACCCCGCGCCAATTGTCCCGCCTCCCCCAGGTCAAGAAGGTACACGCTGGTGTTGGCTCGGTGTGTTAAGCCGAGCGAGAGTGAAAAGAAACATAAAACGTCTCTTGGCTTCAAGTCTTCTGTTTGTCCGGGCACCTCACTCCCTTTCTTCTCCTTCTTCTTCTCCTTCTCCTCCATCAGCTTCTTCCTTACCTCTTCTTAAACACCATAATGTCTGCTGTCAATCGCGGTCTCCGCCAGGCGTCCAAGCAAGTGCGCCTATCCCAGCGTGTGAGCAACCTTAGCTACCCCAGATCCGCCAGTCTCCAGTCTGCCTTCAGACTCCAGAACTCTCCCTCCACTTCCACTTCTGCTCTCCCCAACACCCGCACCAGCAGCTTCTCTACCATGGCGTCCCTCCAGTCTGCCGCCCCTGGCGTCACCCCCTCGCCCGCCCACCACAAGGGCTATGACCCCGAGATCACCGACATTGCCGACTATGTCCTCAACAAGAACATCGATTCGGAGCTTGCTGTAAGTTCCGTCCCCTGCCCGTCAAGTTATTTAAGGGAAAAAAAAGCCCTCAATCTCGAGGAGCTTTATATAAGATGAATTGGTTATAAAGATCGGACGAAAATCGAACTAAACCTACATGTGCAAAACACCACATGCTAACCGCCAATGTTCACAGTTCGACACTGCCAGATGGGTCTTCCTTGACACCCTTGGCTGCGGTCTTGAGGGCCTCCGCTTCAAGGAGTGCACCAAGCTCCTCGGTCCCACCGTCCCCGGCACCGTGGTGCCCAACGGCCCCAAGGTCCCCGGTACCCCCTACCAGCTCGACCCCATCAATGCTGCCTTCAACATTGGCACCATGATCCGCTGGCTCGACTACAACGACTGCTGGCTCGCCGCCGAGTGGGGCCACCCCTCGGACAACCTTGGCGCCATCCTCGCCGTCGCCGACTGGATCACCCGCACCAACAAGGCCGGCGGCAACCTCGCCAATGGCAAGCAGTTTACCGTCCGCGATGTTCTCGAGGGCATGATCAAGGCCCATGAGATTCAGGGCTGTCTCGCTCTCCTCAACTCGTACAACAAGGTCGGTCTCGACCACGTCGTCCTCGTCAAGGTCGCCTCCACCGCTGTCGTCTCCAAGATGCTCGGCCTCAACGAGAAGCAGACCGCCGACGCCATCACCCAGGCCTGGGTTGACGGCCAGTCCCTCCGCACCTACCGCCACTCCCCCAACACCATGTCCCGCAAGTCGTGGGCGGCCGGTGACGCCTGCCAGCGCGCCGTCAACCTGGCCCTCAAGGTTCTCAAGGGCGAGCCTGGTGTCCCCACCGTCCTCTCCGCTCCCGTCTGGGGCTTCTACGACGTGCTCTTCAAGGGCAAGAAGTTCGAGTTCCAGCGCCCCTACGGCAGCTACGTCATGGAGAACGTTCTCTTCAAGGTCTCGTACCCCGCCGAGTTCCACTCCCAGACCGCCGTCGAGGCCTCGGAGAAGATCCACGCCCAGCTCAAGGCCATGGGCAAGTCCGCGGCCGACATCAAGGAGGTCACCATCCGCACACACGAGGCCTGCGTCCGCATCATCGACAAGCAGTTCAAGCCCATGGACAACTTCGCCGACCGCGACCACTGCATCCAGTACATGTGCTCTGTCATGCTCACCTTTGGCCGCCTTACCGCCGGCGACTACACGGACGGTTCCGAGGCCGCCACCTCGGAGCTCGTCGAATCCCTCCGCAAGAAGATCAAGTGCGTCGAGGACCCCCAGTTCACCGCTGACTACCACGACCCTGCCCTCCGCACCATCTCCAACGGTCTCACCGTCGAGCTCAACGATGGCACCTTCCTCGATGAGGTCGTCGTCGAGGCGCCCCTCGGACACCGTCTCCGTCGCGAGGAGGCCAAGCCTCATATCCTGGCTAAGTACAAGCGTCACTTGGAGCCCCACTTCAGCGCCGACAAGGTTGAGAAGCTGGTTGCTCTTGGCCAGAACCCCAAGGAGTTGGAGGCTATGTCGGTTGATGAGTATGTTGATCTTTATGTCAACGAGAAGAGCGAGTTTGCTCAGTAAATATGGCTTTGTTTGACTGGAGCAGAGAGGAAAAAGGATGGGAGGTGGTGCATTACATAGAAGCGATCTTTGGTGTGCTTAGAATGGCGTGAAATGAATATACCATTTTTTTTTTCTTTTTTTTGGTTTACATATATTGTTCTGGTCTTCATACTGGCTGGTGATTCAAAGAAAGGGATTGTGAACTGTATCCTCTGTGGGAACTCACTTGATACTCAACCACAGACATCATTACTGGGACTGATATGATTGTCACCTATTGTAAAACTAAGCAAATGCCTATAATGGAAAAAACCTTCAGAATGATGACCTCCTTGCCAGTTACAATAACCAAAAAGACATGATGAACCAAACTCCCTATAGCAAGTTTGCGGACCTAGTAGACTAAAGGCAAAAAGAAAAAAAAAGAAAAACAAACAAAAAAACAGAAGACGGTTAAGCCCTTCATATGACCTGGCAATAATACCCCATGCACAATCCACAGTAAAGTATACCTCTTAAGATGCCTGAACCACGCACAGAAACCCCAACAAAAGGGGCCACCATAATGTCAAATCATGTTCTTGTCCAACGGTTCCTAACCGTCAAACTCGACGCCCACAACCTTGGCCGTACCACCGACATTCGCTTCACCTCCTCCTCCCAAACTACCACCACTCCCTTGTTGCAGCTGAGCCTCAGCAGTAGGATCACTAGCCTCTGCATCCGCCCCCGTCAATAAATCTCTATCCGAACTCCTCACTCCTCCACTTCTGATCCCCGCCGCCGACCCTCCCGCGCCGCCAGAATCATTCCCATTACCGCCAAGCGACAACCCTTCAACAGGCCCACCATCATCCTCGTCATCATCTTCATCATCGCCGCCACCACGATTCGCGCCGCCCGGCTTGTGCTGCCCTGGCAGCGCATTCTTCTCGAGCTCTCTCTGCGCCTCCTCCATGCGTCTCCTCACCTCTGCTGCGACACGCATTCCATCCGTGACGATATTGTCCAGTACGCCTCTTAGACCGCGTCCGGCACCTGCTCCTCCTTGCTGGCTGTTTGCTCCGCCGGCGCCGCCGCCGAAGAAGCCCATGTGGGAGAAGGTGCTTCCTAGACCGCCCACGCCGTAGGACGACGAGGCAGCGTTGGAAGAGTTGCCGCTGGACATGTTGATGCCCTCTACGAGATGGAACGAGCACGGAAAGGAGGACTCGAAGAATTGCTCGAGGAGCTCGTCGGCCAGGACCACCATGCGGAAGGTGGGCAGGGTGATGTGCAAAGGGTTGTTGGGGTCGAGGGCGATGTTGGCCTTTTCCGACTGCTGGCGCGAGACGCGGCGGCGGCGGTCTTCGTCGTTGTTGGAGATGGACGAGGGCGCGGTGGATGGGTCGAGATGCAGCGAGGAGGGCGGTTGCAGGCTCGAAGTGGCGGTGTCCTCGGAGCGCTTGGCCGGGCGCGGGCTGGCGGTTGGGGAGTCCATGGCTAGGAGATCGTCATCGTTCTCTTCGTCAAAGTCGTCGTCGTCGTCACCAATGGCAAAGGCATCAGGGTCTGCCAAGCCCTGGGCGGCATCGTCGTCATCAATGGAGATTAGGTTTTCTTCCTGATGAGACGTCGTCTGTTGTTGTGCCGGTTGCTGGCTGTTTTGGTTGTTGGGATGGTCTGGGTCTGCGTACTCAAAGCATCTCCTGATAAATGCACTGACGCTCCCGAGAAATCTCTCGTTAACAGATTGGTCGGGCACTTCATTTCCAGGGGTCACCATGCCCTCAGTCATCATCCCGTTAGGTGCTGTTGCACGATCCAGTGTACCCTCCAATCCCCGACGTGATAGAAAGAGCAAAGCCTCGGACATGCGCAATATGCCTTCACGATCAACCTTGCCATCTCCATCATCGTCATGCAGTTCAAAGAAGTAGTTAATCGTTCCCATGATATCACGCTTTCCTTTGATGCGGGCCAAGCCAGTAACAACGTTCTGGAGGGTGAGCGCGGAGCTGGAATCAAAGTCCCATTTCCTGAACAGCCTTTGGAGGAACTCGTGATCTGCTGGTTCAGGACCATTACCCCAAGGAGACATGGATGATTCGTTCTTCCGGAAACTGTTGTAGAACCCTCCCCCGTTACTGGAACCGGTGTCACGGCGAGACTGAGTGGGGGAGTCCGAAACAGCCCACTTGGCGATACCCGCGAGGAACTCTCTGAAGGCATCGTAATCCATCAGGCTTGTGCTCGGACCCAGCCCAACTCGCCCCTTTTCAACATTCCCCTCGTCCACCATTTGGCCGATTCTCGATATCCTGTTGCTCTTGGCTCTCCTTGCCCCTTCCTGCTTGATGATGAGATCCCGTTGCTGCCTCTCGTACAACACACCGTAAAACCTATCGTATACCGCACCGAGCTCATCGGTGCTAAGAAGCTTGCTTTCTGGGCCCAGGTTCCGAATGGCCGTCCGTTTGGCAAAGCTCTCAATGTTGTTCAACACTGCGTCCTTGTTCTTGAGGCGCAGCTCTGTGATTGTGCTGTGTGTGATGCCAGAGAATTCCTTGAATGCCACCACCATTAACTCCTGAAACCTGGTAACAGCTCTCAGCTTCGGATTTTCCGACTTGGGGTGTGCCGACTCATCCAGCCGAGCGAAATAATTCTTTAGTACCGAGATGAAGGCACCGTCGTCAGAGGCATCCAGTAGCTCCTCGCCGTTTATCCTTAAAATAGCCAGGCCAACCTGGAACAGTACCTTGGGGCCCTCCACGAAGAAAACATCCAAGACTCTGAAGGCAAAGACCAAGGGCATGGAGTTGATGTACAGTGATAGGAACCACGGAAGAGAGACCACTGAAAGCTGCACATCGCACTTCACCAAGTGTTCCCACAGGATGGGCATGGTCCTCTCCACAAGGGATTCGAACACCTTCTGATCCAGGAGGGTACCATACATGGTGGTGGAGTAGTAGCCAGGAACCAGCCGGTCACAGAGAGTCGACAAGAGGAAGAAGGCCTGCGCTTCCGACATGTAGATCAGCAGCGCGGCTACCACGATGTTCATGGCCTGGCAATAGCCAACGTCAGCGTTGACCCAGCTGTAGGCGGTCAACACCCGGCGCAACCGGCCGATACCTTCCTCGCTCTGAAACCCCGGATACTCCGGAAGACTTCGATTTAGGTCCTTCTCAATTTCGTCAATCGCGAGCGATTCTTTCCCTGAATGCTTGGCGAGCGTATCGGCATACAAGGTCGGATTCTCTAATCGCAAATAGACGGAGCCTGATGTGAGCTCCCAAATTTCGCCCCTTAGCCGGTTTGGCAGACCGACTCTGATGAGCTTATGGAAGGTAGGTTGACGGATCAACGTCACGTTCCGACCGTTGTCGCGAAGGTATTCGGCCCACAGGCGCATCTTTGCTCGGTCTCGCAGCTTTTTGGGATCACCAGGGTATCGGAAGATCATGCCGAGCCCCGCGTCGGGCGGGTTGGCGCTTTTCTGCTCCTCGGGTCGTAGCAGGTATTCCGAGTAGCATTCGCCGATGACCTTTTTGAGTTTGCCGACATTGCCCACGGCCGCACGGAGCCCCTTCTTGAGACCATCGCAGAAGCGCTCGCAAGCGACCCGTGTGCCGGCAAGCTGAATAGTGATCCGTTGTTCCCTCACTTCTTTCTTGTCCTTGTTGTCCTTGAGAGCATCCTGGCTGATTCCGTTCCATGTTGTTATCGCAAGAGCAAACTGTTATAATCAGCACTGGTCTAGGCATCCTTGTTTGTTATCTTGTTGAAGGGATGCATGGTATCCTACCTGGAAATTCTGGCTGTGAAGGCGCTCTACCCTGCGGATAGAGCTTAGAGGGAAGGTGAAGCCGTTACCGCTGGGTCCGCCGCCATGAGTCTGACCGGTAAATGCCGAAGAGGTCGAGGTGCTAGCCGACTGCAGGAAGCTCGAAGGCGTGGTGGAGAAGCAGAGGTAGGCCTCTGAAAGGTGCAATTTCCCGGCGTAGTGGAAGCCCCTATCTTGGTCCTTGCCGCCCTGTGTCACGTTCGAAGGAGGGATGGTGAGCTCGGCTGTGATCTCGTAGAGCGGGTGTTGGGAGTCGGGCAGCCGAAATTGGCTCTGGAAGAGGGAGGCCTTGGACGGGTTCTTGTCGGAATCGGTCAGGTTCAGGCCCTGGGTCGGATCAAGCAGCTGTTGTGCCTTTTGCACAAAGCTCGATAGGTTCAACATTGCTACTGTGGTTGCGCGAGCTCACGGCCCTGCCATCAAGAGGCAGCTTTGTGTATGTATGCGGTTGTAGATGATGGTATCGAGCGGCGGGCAGCGGAACGATTGGCGGGCTGATGGCGGTCGATCGGAAGCTCAGCTTGGCGGCATCGCCCGGCAACCACTTGTTGCTTTTGCAATGTATGTACGGCGGGAGAAGTCTCGGTGTAGACGCCGACGAGAAGCGAAGAACAGTAGGATAATCGGGTATATGTGGTCGGAGTAATGGGGAAGTCGAATGGGTGGTGTAGAGTGGTGACGGTGGTGACGGTGGGTTGACCTTCCAGTGCCCTGGCTCTGGTCTTTGTGGGATTTAGCCGAGCACTAACTCTTGCAGTCTGTTGTGATATGTTGGCCGGGGCTTGGGCGATCTGTGTTATTTCAAGAGATGCCAGTTGGGTGAAGGTGTCGTCAAATGGGTGGTAACGACTGGCGCTGTAGTGGTCTGTGTGCGGAGGATGTTTGCGGCTCGGGCAGTTGAGTGGGATGGATGAAACGAAGGTGGCATCTGATGGAGATTGAAGCGATGGATGGAGGTTCCTCTTCCGTCGGGTCCTCAGCTCGTCCCCCATTGCTTCAGTGCCTCGCCCCCCAGTTTGTGGGGACCTGTCTGCCCTGCTGTGTTTCAATCATACAGCCCAGGGCAGCTTAACCCGTGCGGGCCGGGCGGGCAACGGCCTCGCAGCAGTGGCAGCAGTGGCAGCTTCATAGGTACTGTAGAGGTACCTACCTCTAGAGGTAGCTTTCTACGTACCGACGCAGCAGCACAGGGCACCCCCTACCATGTACCGAACGTTCCTGACGTTAGCGTATCTATTGCTGTATGTAGATTCCCTGGGCTTCAACCTCTTTCCAGAGGCCCTCCTAATGCATTAGCTATTACTCAATCATCAACAAGCGGCGAGGCGAGAGAGACTAGACTGATCAACCATCTACGAATATATTGAACTCATGCCCACGTATTCCCTCTTTACTATACCAGCTATGTGTAGCGTTCTTCGTACCTCTACCCTCTAACAACGTCAAAATGTCTACCTAGACATAGAGCTCTGACTCTCTGATGTGCGCTAGGTAGGGGGGGGGATATAATATCATAAAAAGCATCAAGTAACCCATAAACCCGCGACGCCCTTCCCGTATCGTCCTGTAATAACTCCGTGCCCGTCTCTTCCCATTTCAGTCAGTTCTCATTCTCGAGAACGACGAAGAGTTATGATATGAAATCCACCAAAGACAAAAACTACACTCATAACCATTCCTTGTCATCGCCGTGCTGTCGCCTTTGACCGCGGTCCAACCTGACACACTGGAGACGGGCCTGGCTACTTGGAATGTCAAGCATACCCGTCTCCTCAATGTCAAGCGAGTGACTTCAAGCAGTAACACCACATGTCCCATCCGACTGATCATATCCGAATATTCTTCTGCCCAATTGAGCCAGTAACCCAGCTCGAGATCTTCTCAGGAACCCGCCTGGGCCCCAATACTTGGGCGCTTGCGCAATCCCTTCGACGACCTGAGGCTCTTTCACTAAAAGTCCCCAAAGTACTTTTCGTACTTTTCAAACATCTCATCCGTGTACGCCTCATTGTTGACGTCCTGCTCCGGGTAGACGTCGAAGCACGAAGCGTCGCCGGGGTGACTTAGGTGAGGAATGATGGGGCCCTTGTGCCGTCTTTGCTCCACAGCCTCCCAGTCGACGCCCTTGAACCATGGGTGCGCCTTCACTCTTGCCGCGCCGCCGCTCATGTTGCCGAGTCGCATGGACCGATCGACGGTGCAGAAGGACCGGATGATGTCCTTTGCTTCTTCGCTGATTTCTGTTGACGAGGGGAATAGAACCGGCTTTTCTACGATTCTGACTTGGGTGTTAGTGACGGTGAACATGCATCTGGAGCAGCAGCTCAAATTGGGAATAACTCACTGTCTGTAAATCTCTAGGGGATTGTTGTGATAAAACGGGGGATAGCCCGTCAGGAATTCGTATATCAGGATCCCCAACGCCCACCAGTCCACCGCTGTCGTGTGGCCTTTATTCTGAATAACCTCGGGCGCCAGGTACTCTGGAGTGCCACAAAGGGTGTAGGTCTCGACCGGGCGTTCAACGTCCTTGTACCCCAGCCGCTTGGCAAAACCAAAATCGACCAGCTTAATGTGCCCATCCGCATCCAACAGCAGATTTTCGGGCTTCATATCTCGGTAAGCTATCCCACCCTGCTCTTCGTGGAGGTACTCGAGCACCAGCACAATCTCAGCCGCGTAGAAGCGTGCCATCTCCTCGTCGAACCGTCGGTATTTGCGCAGGTATGTAAACAGCTCTCCGCCGGGAATGTAGTCGAGCAGGAGGTAGAGGAAGTCGTGGTCGGAAAAGGAGGCTTGCAGACTGGTGATGAACGGGTGGCCTGTTACATCCTGGAGGATCTGCCGCTCGTGGCGCACATGGTCAATCTGTTTTAGTCTGATCACTGTAATCACGTATTAGTGATCCTGACGCCCGACATTTTCCGTTTTGATAACTCAAGCGAAACTAACCTTCCGTCTTTCTCAAAATCTTCAATGCGTAAACCTTTTGACGGTCAATTTCGGTGCCATTGGCTGGTCGGACGAGTACCACACGAGCAAAGGTGCCTATCGCCCGTTTATGAGTGGTTAGCAACACAGTCCGTGAGGCGCGTTGGAAGTCTTGGAACCGTACCAGTTCCTAATGTCCTTATACGGTGAAAGTCGCTCAGCCGGGGCTTGCGCGTGGCCATCTCGAATCCACCACTCGTATCATTATTCTTTTGCGTTTGTGATGGGTCATTTCGGCGTTGGTCGTTCTGGTAAGAGTGGTGCTGCGAGAGCATGCAGGGATGAAGTTGCGGTTGCGATTGCGTCTGCTGCTGTTGTTGGCGCTGCTGGGCGGCTGCAAGTAACCCCTTTGCCTGCAGTGGGTGTAGCCCACCGCCAAATGGGTGTGACGAGGCGACGGTGGCCGCCATGTTGGATGCGGACCAGTGAGTGACTCGGAAAGCGGCAGCTATGTTTCCGTCTTTCGAGTCGTCCGACAAGATGCGTTTGGAGGTATCGACAAAGGTCCCTATGGTGGCTAAGTGGAAGAGGAACGTGAAGGTGGAAAGGCAATGCGTGGGGTAGACGTAAAAAGCGCCCGTGGCCAGGTTGCTGTTCCGCTCGTGATGTTTCCCGAGATAGCTGAGGTGATAGCACTCGGTATCAGGCCACCAAAGATCATGCGAGACTGATAGATACGGAAGAAGGGCCGAAGGGGAAAATTCCGTCAACGCCGTAACCAGTCAAGAGGGCGGATCAAACGAAGACGTCCAGAGGGGATATACGGCAAGCAAAAAGGGTAGGTGGGTGTAGTCGGCGAAGAGCGTCAGGGGTTCAAGTTGTCGAGCGTAGTGTCTAGACTATATGTATATGTATCGAGATTGTACTTCTGTGAGCCACGGGCAGAGTTAATGGCAGATCGTTACAGTGCTGTGCCGGGGCGGAAAGTGAAGAGATGGGGACAGAGTTTAAAGAACGGGAGAGGACGTCCATGTGGTACTTGGGTTACGGCGGGGTTCTTGACATAAGTTCGTTGGTTCTCGGGTAGAGGTCGGGCCCCATCCGGCCCAGCGGGATGCCAGTGACGAAGAGCAATAGAGAAAAGGGAAGGTGGGAAACTGGAGTCCTGTATAATCGTGGGACTAAAAGTACCTTACTGAACCTGAGGCCCGGCATGGGTATGAAGGGAACGGTGTGAACAGACAACGGTCACGATCCATTGCTTCACTTGGACACCCACCCCATCACGACATCAAATGCCTATGGTACACCTTAGCGTACCTTATCCCCGCGAGGTTCAACGAGTCTTGCTGGTGGAACGGAGTTCTCTTCCTGACGGACTCCTCACTGTCCACCAGGTAGTGTACCTAAAGATATCGATGTGTGCAGTGATTCACGCGCTTCGCAGTGGGGGGGGGGGGGGGAATGGTGGGATGAGACCTGGGGGTGTGGGCATTGTGGGCAGTGTGGGCTTTGTTTGGGAGCGATGGCGGCGGGGATGACGTTGGTTTCTGCAGACCCCAGTTCTCTGCGCGACATCTCGTGGGCCTGGATTGCCCTGAATGTCGCCCTGAGATGCGAGAGGCACGGTTCTCTGGACAAAACGGACCGATCGGCGGCGAATCACAGCGAATCACGTCTTTTACAAGTCCGAGACGGGACCCGGAACTTGACGAAGGCTGCATCTACCATCTATTAGACTACTTACATGTGTAAAGGGCGGCGAGGGCGGCTTTTTGCGAGGTGTTTTCTTTTTCAATGTGAGAGAACAAAGAGAGAGAGGAACAAAGTGGACAAGTTTCGGTTACTTGGGTTCCTTGACAAGAATACAACACCAGATACAGGAATAATGCACGGTGATACACTGAGCGCAGGGAAACACAGACTTTAAAGCTACCTGTAGTTCTATCACCACGGTGACCCCAATGATCCATTTCATACACCACTACCTCTAGCTACGCTACAAGCTAAGTGTACTACATTGTAAAGGATCATTTCAGGGCAATTTCAATCTAGGAAAGAACCGGCTCGACGGTTGTTGATATTCCCGTCCTCGTCAAGGATTTGCTGCCGGGACCCTCCGCCGCCAGCGCCTAAAACAGCCGCACGACCCGGTTTGAATCGTAATTGCGGGGTTTCTCAGGCACCGTTAGGTAGTCCGGGGTTCAAAGAGGAGCTCACGTATCCTACCTACTGCTGCGTACACTGCGTCAGCGTACAGAAAAATACAGGGGATGTCGATGTCCATCTCGATATCCGTTTTCCTTGGACGACGTCGTCTAGAATACTTATTTTCAACAAGTGGCGGCTGCCATGCTCGCGGCGTTCCTGTTCGTTACGTAGACGGGGAGCCGCCCCAACGCCTGTAACCACCTCCGGCTGTACCTTCCTTCCCGCCCGTGCCTGCTTTAGACTTTCCGTCCCATGCTTCCTAGGTAGGTAGGTACCATCGATGCGTGCTTCATGAAGGAGTGGAAAACCAGCGGCACCTGCCCCTGAAATCTCCAGCCTAAACGCTGGTCGTTCCCGTCGTGTGACAAATTGGTTGCCGTAAGGTAGCTTTTCAATCTCCACGCAGGGTCTTCTCCAGTTCCGCTCCTATGTAAAACGAAAGTTGCGGGGCTTCCTTGTACAATGTACTTAACCCCCCATGACATCAGACACACAGGTACATGCCTAGGATGGCGGTGACTTGCCACAACTGGGAATAGCTTCGTGTTACATTTCGAAGCACTGGCACCTTTTCCGTCCGAGATAAGTTCGGTTTTGTAACGCATGTGTGTGATAGTCAGTGACGGTTGGCAAAAATTGGCCGTTAATCTCCGATGCCCAATTCGGGGCCATCCGCCAATCGCCAAGAACCCCCCCCCCCCCCCCCCGTCTGAAGGTTGAAAACCACCATCAAAATGAAAGAACGGAAGCGTGACAAACTCAGAATAGGGAACAATTCAGTCAAACTTCTGGTATTTCGTGTATTCTGTACATTAGATTCACGATAGAGCTCGTCTTTCTCGCCATGCTGCAGACCGTTACAACATCGATCCAAGAGGAACCAGTGTCGAAACTCTCCTTACCCACGCTCACCACGATATCCCATCACCTCGTGTGCCTCGTGTGGCGGGCTCCTGGCGGCCGTGTTGAACGAAGGGGATTTTGTCCATGCGTATGCATTTTCTGATACGAGGGCGCTGACTCGTTTGGGTCGCTCAGACCTGACCTCTTAGCTTCTTTATCTTTTTCCTTCCAAAAAAAGTTCTTGCTTTGGACATTGTACGTGGGTGATCGATGCCACACATCTCAGCACGCTCGGATGGGAGCTTATCCGAAAATCTGATCTGTATGCCTTCTATATTGTTGATTTTGCTAGGCTGTCCAAGTGGACAGGCACGCAATAATGATGCATATTTATAACCGGAGAAGGAGAGGTACACAAACAAGCCTCGAGGCAAGAGAATCTATCTTCTTGAGAATGACCACGCTGATCCATGGAAACCCAACCCTCCTCAGATCTCAGAAGTGCATTGTAGGTATATCCTCCTCTCAGAAACCATTAGGTTGCTCATGTAGACGTAGAGGTTCGTAACCATTCCGTACCCCCCTTATCCTCGTGCCCTGTATCCAAGAATTTGCAAACCCAAGAAACCGCCCATGCATCCACATTCATCGTAACTATCATCAAAGCCCATTTACTACCAATCGCGTAACAGCCACCAAGTCCCAACACCCATAACCAATAAAGTAGCCAACACCAGCGCTCCCTCCTTCGTACTCCAAATGAACGCCGTCCACCCCACCACCACCTCCTTCCTCCTGGCCGCCGCCCTCCTCTCCCAAGCATGTACATCCACGGCGACCGGCATCGACACCCTGGGGTCCCTTTTCCATTCTTCTTCTACTTCCCGTTCGCTCTCACCCTCGCTAACTAAAGGTAGCCTCATCGCCTCCTCCCCCAAAACCGGCACCTTCGCCCTGAAGAACACAGGTCGGTGATCACTCGTCTCCACAACCGGCAGAGAATCGTACACTTCCACTTCCACTTTCACCTTTTCCCGCTCTGCCTCTGGCTGCTGCTCTAGCTCTGTTGTTGTCGTAACCCAAGGCGGGACATCCAAATACAAAACCCTGTCACACCACCCTGGCCACCGATGGCTCGCAAACCGCCACGGCACCTCCGGCACTCCATTCACTTTATCCCCTCTTTTCACCGCTTCCTCATTAACCGCCTCCCCCTTGACTGGATGGACGTCGTATTTATATGTCGGACCAAAGGTTATCGGCGCCTCGGAAAGGCCGTGCATAGTTCGTCCGGCTTCGCGCTCTTGGGTAAGTTGGTCACGAGGCAAAAAGTGGGAGAAGTGGTTGCCCGAGGAAGCATCGAAGGAAGGGTAGGTGGCGAGGGGAGGGGGTGTGGTGGTGTCAATGCGGTAGTTGAGGTCGCCAGCTAGGAAGAGGTGGGAGGTTGGTTTAAAGATGGAGATTTGTTGGAGGGTGGATTCGTGGGAAGCGTTGGGTCTGGGATTGTCGAGTAGGGGTTGGGCGTCAGAATCGCCATCGCCGTTTCCGTACGCGAGATCGGTGTGGTCGTCGGCATCGGCTGAGCTGCTATCCCGAGTACGAGCCACAGGCGCCGTGTCCCCCGCCCCAGACCTATCCGGCGTCGACCGCGCTGCTCGGCTTTCGGATGGGAACTTGCCGGCGGGCAAAACGCTGCGCGGGTTAGCGAAAGTCAGGTCTGACACGATGCTGCGCCAGTTGACGTTGCGCTTGTTGAGGTTCCATTCCATCGCAGCCAGGTGTGTGGCCACAAAGGTGAGTTCCGTCGTCTTTGCTTGTTCTGTTGTTGTCGTTATCGCGTTGTCATTGCCATCCACGACATCGCTCCAAGTAACCCGTAACCCTACCGCACCCTTGTTGCCCATATCCGCGGCACCAAATCCACACTCTGCTTCTTCGATCTGCTGGATCTTGGAAGGGTCGCGGGCAAAGAGCAGGATTGCTGTCATCCCTACGTTTTTGGCCCGGATGAGCTTGTATGGGTCACCACTGGCGCCATCACTGCTTGTCCCGTATTCATCGGCCTCTTCGAGTAGTTGTCCAGCTGCGAGGTTCAACGCCTCCCCGTACCGAGCGTAGTACGTGTTTAAAAAGTAAGGGCCGATGAAGGAGTAAGCCAGCGGGGCTACTTCTTGTAGAGAGCTGGATATCAATGGTGAGCGGAAGTTACAGCATCACTTTGGATTGGATGACTACTCACAAAACAACCACGTCCGGCAACGTATTGCCGTTCCCTTTTCCTACACCTTGCGCCGACAGAGCCGCTTTCAAGTGCGCCGCCCAAACGGCGACATTGATGAGATTCTTTGCGCAGTTGAAAGTGAGGATGAAGAGGTCAATAGTTGAGGGCGTCATTTTCCGCGATCGCGTAGCGAGGGTCGCGATGAGGGCTTGCTGAGTGCTGCTGGCGTGATACGCGCGTTTGTTGTTATTGGTTTCTCACCAAATGAAAGGTGCAGCTGTTGTTGTTATTGTTGTTGGAGAGGAAAGTGCGCTTTGGTCTGTTGACACTAAACGCCCCCGATATGTCAAGCACACTTAACGTTGAAGTATGGATAGATATCTCTGTGATGTATGTATGCTGGATCAACCGATATGAACTAGAGTCTAGAACCGAGTCCTCCGGAGCACAAGATTATGTGTTGCGCACGAGAGGTTGTCATGAATCGGCTGATTAAGATGCTGTTGAGGTATCGTTATGTGGGGTCCCGAGTGTGGCTTGGCTGGGACTAAATGTCTTGATTCCCTGCAGTGCCGTTCGTGTTGATCCAAGACGAGACGAAAGTTCAGTCGAATCCAACAATTCAATTGGTGGGGCGAAACAGGTTATCAGGGCGTAGTTTTATTCCAGTAAGGCCTCCGAGTTAATGAGTTGAAGTGTTGACGGTTTCTTGACTCTTGAAAATTTACGGAATCGAATAGTCCCAACACCAGATAGCTGAGCAGAGCGCTTGCCTTCAAGAGGTTGAAATGTGGTGAGAGAACACAAGTTGTTGAATCGAATCACGAACAAGGATTGAATCCGGGACAGGTATATCCAGAAGCCGCAAGCTATAAGTGATAAGTGCCGCATCCAATTTTTTAATTTCTTTTTTTTCTTCTTATTTATCATCATATCTTTCATGTTCCCATCGCCGCGGTACACCAGCCCTCATGCCATGATAGGATTATAGAAATGTTGTGATTGGACCAGAGGTGTGACGTAGACATTACAGCCTCTTTCAGACACCGCTGTTTCGCTTGTCTTAGGGTCAATTCGGCCAGCCCGTACGCTGGTAATCAAGGCTGAGCCGTCGGTGGCTTCACCAGCACATATAATCAATAACCCCATTTGGACAGACTAGAGAATTAGGTAATTGCAGAACAGCATGATTATCTTGCTCAAGGAAGCTATATGCACGCAGACACAATTTCGGCAACGGTCCAATATGGGTAAGATATAAGACGTGTATTAGGAGAACTAGCTTGAATTTTATGTTGCCCGAGCTCTTTCCACGTGGTGTATACCAGTCATATCCGTCTTGTCTCCATGATGTCAGCCAAGTCCCTGAAATATCCCAAGGTCAAAGCTCTCCCACAAAAGCAGGCGGCTGAAAGGTTTCCTTCTCTATATGCGGTGCTCCTGATATTTCGATTTGGGTACGAGGTCGTGAACGCGTAACCATCGTGTCGATATGGAGAGCCACCGCGCCAGCAGATGCATCCAGGAATCTTCAAACTGAGCTCAGAGGCTATCTCTGCTTGTCCAACCTAGAACCTCCAGCCGATCGAATTTGACAGGACCTCGCCGTGTCACTGAGCAGTGGCCGCGTTCACGGAATCTCCATCGTCTGGACAGAAACCTTGGCACATAGGCGCCATAGACCAATAACCACCCCGTGACCTGAACTCTGCTACATGATACCAAGCTAATACCAACTGACCAACGATTGATGTATATGACTTTCGCAAAAAGGTGTAACGCTTCGTCCCCTAATGCCTCCCCACAAGCGAGACCCGATGCGAGAGAAATGACACACCAAAAGGAAATCGTGCATAACAGTAAACGAAAACAAAACAATGGGAAACGGGATGCCGACTGGGAAGATGCTTATTGTTATCTCGCAACGACATGACTCGAACGAGACTTTTGCCATGAATGGCCCGTCTTGATCAAGCCGTATCTCATGACCGCTGCTGCAATTCCGACGGCATTTTGAACCTCGGCCCATAGAAAGGCCAAGGTCTCCAACTTCAGCACCCCAGAAATCCGGGATACTGGGCATGCCGTTCGTAAGGTCTGCGGTCAAATAGGAGCAAGACAGATTCGACCAAGAGTCGAACTGCACTGCCGCCATAAACCGAAGATCCGTCCGAGCCATGAATAAGGGCAGTAACTGATAGAGATGTCGAAGAACGAAGAGAAGCAATCTGTCGCAAGTAATCCGTCTGGCTGTGTAGAGGAGATGCATCGGTCGATGGTGCTGGCCAGGTACAGCCATCCGCTTCCACTCCATCCAAACGCTCGGGGGACGTTGGATGACGAGAGGCGGGTGCAGGAATCAAACCATTTGACCAATGCGCAATCTGCTACTCCAACAACCCGCCGAAGATCTTGTTCCAAGTAGATACCATGTGCGAGCAACCGCAGTCTCATTCCATAGGACGATACCTGCCGGCCACATGTCCGGAGCCAGCGCCTTGACCTTTAGCAGCCGAGCGCAGCCTATTATCGCAAACTGAACGTCAGCCATCATGTCAGCATTCTACCTCCGGCCAGCGTTATTGAGTACACCAAACTCGAAGGAAACAAGATTCCTTACTAGGAATGCTGGGCTAGGCTGGCAAACTCACATCCTGTCGCTGCCACCGACGGCACGGCTGGTCTCAGGTGTCTCGCCGGTCATGGGCTTCCTGGATCCGCTTCTCAGGGCCTGCTGAGGGTCCTTACGAGCAGCAGCCTGGGCCGCCTCCTTGGAGTCCGCAGGCTGGGGCTGGCTGGAGTTGCCAGCAGCCTGCTGGATAGCCTGGGCGTTCTTCTGGTACTTGTAGACGGTCCAGTCAAAGACGTAGTCGTACTGGAAACCCTCGCGGACGAACAGGTCACGGAAGATCTTGCGGAGATAGCTGTAATCAGGCTTGTCATCGAAGCGGAGGGAGCGAGTGTAGTTGAGGTAGATGGCAAACTCGTTGGGGAAGCCGCGGCAAAGAACCTCGGTAGGAGTGGTCATCTTCTTCTCCATGATGCGGTCGTACTTCTGCTTCTTGGTGGCAGCCTTAAGGCCCTGCCACGGGAGGGAGCCGCGGCAAAAGTAAAGCATGACGTAGCCAAGGGACTCCATGTCGTCACGGCGAGACTGCTCGACGCCGAGATGCGTGTTGATGGAGGCATAACGGGCAGTGCCAGTAAGGTTCTTGTTCTCTCTGTAAGGAATGTGGAAGTGAGTCTTGGGATCTCTGTACTTCTTGGCAAGACCAAAATCGATCACGTTGACCTGGTTGCCACGCTTGCCAATACCCATGAGGAAGTTGTCAGGCTTGATGTCGCGGTGGATGAACGACTTGGCATGGATGTACTCGATGCGGGAGATGAGCTGATCAGCAAGCAGCAAGACAGTCTTCAGAGAGAACTTGCGGTTGCAGAAGTTGAACAGATCCTCCAAGCTGGGGCCAAGAAGGTCGAGGACCATGGCGTTGTAGTCACACTCAGTGCCGAACCAGCGGACAAAGGGGATGCCGACGCCACCGGCAAGAGACTTGTAAACGCGGGCCTCATACTCTAGCTGAGGGTGCTTGGCCTTCACGCTCTCCAGCTTGATGGCAATCTCTTCACCGGAGATGATGTTGGTGCCGAGATAAATGTCGCCGAAAGAACCAGAGCCGATCTTGCGACCGATCCGGTACTTGTTACCGACGCGGAGATCCTAGCCTTCCAGTTAGCAGAATGCAACCTTTGACGTTGGCCACCAGAGGCCTAGTAGGCCGTGGTGGTTTGGAATTGACGGGATAGGCGTACCATGGTAGTCATGTTTGCGGTTAATAGGGGAGAAAGACGGATCCCAGAAGATCAGTAACTATAGCCGATAGATGTCAGTAAAAGGGCCATCAAGGTACGCATGCGTAATGATGTCGAACGCTGAGCTGTCGAGAAAGGCCGGTGTCGTCCCAGGTGTTTGGGCGGGAGTCCTTGCCCGGCTCGGTCACAATCGGTTGCTCAACTGCTCCATGAAGTGGCCTATGTGTCAATGTTGACGGCAACATTTCCAGAAACCTCTGCAGACACATCCACATCGTGCATCGCCCTGGAAGAGCTTCTGGACGGCGTGACAACACTGTCCATCAGGGCTATGGGGACACGGACGCGTTCAACGATGGCCTTGGCGACGCTGCCATCCTGGATGAGCATTGTAGTGATGCCATTCCCACCATCATGCCAAGTAGGTTGTCGAGGCTATTGAAAAGCCTATCAAATCGGTGTCGTTGACCGATGGCGACGGTGTGCATCCGGGTAAACAGCGGGCAAAGGCGGCCAGCGCGGGCAGATTGGTTGGCGGACGGACCAACAATCAGCTCACCGATACATGGCGGCAGCTGAGTGGAGCCACCACAATGCGTGCAGCAACCTCCCTCGCTCGCTGGGAACGACGACCCGTCTGACGGAGATGATGATGGAAGTTTTGACTCACTCTTCGGCGGGATGTGTTCTCCTTTTGTAGACGGTCGTCGCAGACCGAACGCTGTGCTCAAGGGTCGTCGGGACCAGGATGGCAATGAATAATCGAGAGGGGCGTGCGTGCCGAAGAAGGCTGCTTAAGTGATGTTGGAGCGTCGGGGGCGATGAAATGCAGCTCAATCTGTACGGGTATGTGTTAAAATGCAGTCGAGACGAAGCGTGCAGCGACAAGCTGATGGACGCGGGCTTGGTGTTGATGTATGGTGCAGCATGCGGGGGGGGGGGGGGAAAACAAGAGATTGTTTTGGTGGTTGGGGTAGGTTCTCTTACCGTCGTCGTCGACGCCGGGAATTTTTAGGTCGTCGGTGGTGAGACGGGGGGCGAGGGAAAGGACGATGTGAAGAGGGAAACGAGAAGGGAGGAGGAGGCAGTTTGGTGACTGGGACCGACTGGGACTTCTGGACAGCCGACCGACCTGGGGGACTGGGGACTGGCAGGATTTGAGACGGCAACGCCAAGTGCCAGCCAGGCTCGCCAGATCGACCAGGCCCAGCCAGCGCGCGCTCTTTTGGTTTGGTTCTTGGCGGCATCCAGCTGGCGAACTGACGGGAAGTGGAGGAGCTGTGATCCACCGCCGCCATCCACAGTGTCACAGTGCGGGCCAAGCAATAAGCCGGACACAGTGCCAAGGTGAGCGAGATGGCAAAAAATGACTGGAGCTCTCACTGCACCGTCGGACAGCGAGCCACCTCAGGCAAGGGCCAGGCGTCCCAGGCCTGCCAGGGCATTGGAGGGCGGAGTTTCATGTGGCTTCTGGGCGCGCCCTTTTCTCTGGCAATGTCCAACTGTCATCCAAAGATCTCCGAATGCAGGCTTGCCTCTCAAACAAACAAAATCTGCTGATTTGCAGTTCCCCAACAAGGCAAGACGCCGGCAACACCTTACGACGGCAGGATAGGACGCGGGCACTGCAGTGGACATTGTGTGGGCAAGGCAAACGTGCAGCGGTAAGGTAAGGTAACCGAAAGGCTTATACTTGATAATGCGGGCAGGACCGCACCGCACCTACCTCTTTTTTACGAAGGAAGGCATACATACACCGCGCCTCCCATATTACGCCCTGTGAGTGTGCAAGAGGTCGGAAGGCTCAGCATTTTATTAGGCAGAAACTGGACGGGGTCCAATGGCCAATCCAGTGCCAAAGTGCCTGCCTGCCTTCAGTTCGTTCTCTTGCTGTATTGAGAGTCTGTGTTGTGTCATATTGGCTTGGTTGACTTCCGGTCCCAGAATCAAATACTAATTCTGACTGGTAACCCCTTACGTCTGTTAAGCTCCGATACGCCCAAATACATTACACCTCACTGCAGCTTCATGTGTCGGGTGTACAGACACGAATACGTTAAAACAGCAACTGCGACAAATACGACATCCATATCCCATCCGATATCAGCCTCGAAGAGAATTGAACGGCACTTTGATCAAGTCAGGTGCCTTCTCTGACTACTTTAGAACACTACGCAGCACATATTCTGTGACCAATGTCCCGCTTTTCCCCCGTTCACAACTGCATCATTGTGAGGTTTCACTATGGAGACTATACGACAGACGAAATGCAGGAGCCCTCTTCCAAAAGATCAGACGAAGGGACCAAAACACAAGCAAGTTGCATCGTTCAACCATGGCGGGATTGACAGCTCGGTGTAGTGTACATAGTACATACTGGGTGCGACAGGGCTCTGTACCATAATCACACAGACAGTCGTTTGCAAAGCGATCAACATTCCCCACCCCGTGGGACAAAACCTCTGCGACTGGCGTCCCGACAGCTTGGAACATACCGAACAAAAGCGCCCTTCCTGTCATCTCCTCTCATAGCTTCCTCACAAGGCCCCAAGAGTTCCGTGCTAGATATGCAAAGAACCTACGTCAAGTGGTTGGCGGCAGCCACGGGAGAGCCTATCAAAGCGGTCATGACAAGCCATATTGTTTGACGGGCGCTTGCGCAGTACACTTAGTGCACACAGAAGCCGTCCACAGAGCCTACACCGAGAACTGTCAATATAAAATCTCAAAAACCGCTGCCGAAGATCACGGGTCCAGTGGACCTCTTGAAAAGAGCGCACTGTGTCGTATATTTGGAGGACGTTAGGCGCGGCTGAGAGGCCAAGCCCTCCATGTCAGCGTCTCACTGCTCTTGCAAGTACACTCGCTACTATCCTCGCTGCGATGACCAGCAACCTCCGTCCGAACCCCTCAGTCCATCATTCAATAGTGTGTTCTGCGAATTACCAATGGAAGACATACATTCAGAAGCGGCAGAGCATTCAGTCCTCACAGGGAAAGGGCTACACATATCCTTCCATTGCTCATATTCGGTCTGCCGTGCTAGGGGTACCTGGTCGTCTCCAAGACAGTGCCCGGAATTTCCATCCCCCTGGCCTTGCAGATACTACCGACGTGTATCTTCCAACTACACTACACGTACAAGGCGGTGTCGGAGAAAATCCTGTTCAATCAACCGGCTCTACCTGCATCTTCATAACTTGCAGTCTTGAGAAATATCAGCAGCTTAGGAACTCTCTATCTGAAGCTGTCAGAAGCTATCAAGAACCTCAGCTCAAACCTTTCCGTGGGCCGACAACGAAGTCACAGAATACACCCGAGGCATAACGGAGCCAGCCTTAGGTCCGCCGGTGGTTCGCCTCCGCTTTGCTGCCCAAAACGCGACCCAAGGGGCAGACAAGGGTGGCACTGATTTCCCGTGGCTCGATCTTTGAAAGCGGCAAACACATGCCATGATCCCTGCGCATAGCAATGCCCAGATTACCAAAGTGTTTGTATCAGACGACATGCCAGTTGGAGGGGCATTGACACTAGAACTGTTTTTTTAATAAAGAAAAAAAAAACAAAAAAAAAACTAAATATCATGAACCAGCTTCGTCAGTGTGGCTACACCGCCCTGACCGCCAACTGCAACACAGTAATCCATTACCGACCCTTACCCATGCCTGCCATGCTGTTCAAGGTTAAAATCGGTAGTGTACGGACGGAAACGGAAACGGAAACAGACAAAGGAAGAACATGCGCCCGATTCTAGAAGCACAAGGCGGCTTGTCTGCAGACAAGGTGAATGATAACACCAGTTCAAATTTCTCACCGATACCCTCTGGATCCTCATTTGTTTTGGTATGAAAAACTACTTCCCAACGGGTCGTGTGTCGGGAGATGGGCCAGAATCTCTAAAATTTCGGAGATCGCCAGTTCCAGGTTGCCCGGTTGCATTCTGGGACACATTTCCTCTCCGGGAACATACCCGACATTTAGGTAACGAAACCTGTAGAGGTTGGTTGTTGGGGGATTCACCATGACAGAGACTCCAACTTGTTCCAACGTCCCGGATCGTAACCCATCAGTCTGTCACTCCTCGTGTTGACCCAGCGAATTTGGCCAATATCCTCATCGGACCCGGACACACCTCCCGCTAATGATCCACCATAAGACTTTCAACAGACACTTCACGGAAGATCTACCGCCCCGTAGGTTGGGTTGTTGGTGAGTGTATGCATCTGTTCGGTTCCCAATCACCAACGGACAAAACGCCGTTGTGTCTCGACACCGCCGATCATTCCCCATTCCAAGCTTCCTTGCTTTCACAGAACAAATGGCGAAGAGATTCTTCACCCATCAGCTGACGGCTTTTGATACAAAACTGTCGTGGCACGCGACAAATGTGCGATTGGTCAAGAAAGTGACCTAAGACCGCCCAAACAGCAGAGCAGAATGGAAGTGAGTTACGTAGTGTCCTAGAATTAGCCAACTAAAAAGACAAATTGTGTTTAAGCTACATACCTATTGCAAGTGGGCTCGTGGGTAAGCGGTACTGTTAAACAAGACGCCATGGTTTGAGTGCGGGTAAATACTCCGGCTCCCGTACAAGACTGATATACCATGTTCTTCAGTCGTTCAAGAGTTGTGTCTCTTGTTGCCGAGATTTGGCCACCCCCGCAGATAACAAGGAGAAGAATCACCAACGGAAGAGAAAACATGGACGTCACAGAGCAGCCACTCAGGTCAATACTTGCCATCGCTGGGAGCCTAGGTATCCTCGAATCTGCTTCAATCGGGCAATTCTGATTACATACCGGCTCCTGCCAATTTCAAGCCCAGCGGCAGCCCGAGCTTTCCCACAAGAATAGGCGAAAAAACCAGTCGGAGAAAGTCGCGCATTCGTCTTTATCACTGGGTCCTAAAAGCTGAGTGAAAGCATCATCTCAGAATGTGGGCTTCATGGAATGTGTTCCTGATGTAGTATGTTACGTACACTTGGCTCTCTTGGTCCTTTTCGGACGAGTGTCTTGCTTGCAGTGGCTGGAATTATTTTGACACTTGCCTGCAATTAAATGGGCATACGCCAAGACGGCAGGTGTACCGAACGTTGGGTACCTGGATATCGACATGGAAGGTGTGTGCGGGAGGTAGCCAGGGATGACGGGTTCTTCTTTTTGACGGACGGGAAGTACCCTGGACTTGATACCTGCCTCTATACATGGAACAAAGTGTCTTATTGCTGTGCTCGTTATCTGATACTAAGCAATTCGCGTCGTATCTCTCTCTCATAAGGTGGTGGAGTAACTACTACCTTGTACAGACTGAAAGCATCAAGAATGTTGATAGCTTTATGTCTGGAATGCTATTGTCCCAAGATTCGGCCTTAACAAAAGCCCATGGACGAATACCGTCGGGGCGAGGACAAGTCAAGAAAGGCGGAGATAGTAGTGCCTACTACCTGTCCGCTTTGACGAGAGCTCTATCAAATTCTCCCCTAGGGTGACCTCATCACCCGATACTCACATCCACTTACCTACCTACCTATGTTCCGGGGACTGCGTAGGTAGTGCTCGTAAGTACCTAGGAAGTACATCTAAGCTAATTCAATCAGGATTCTGCTGCTACTACAAGCATACAATTCATCTACGTTCCCGAACATTATGTTCAAGTAACATTCCGTTGGTTGATAGGTATGGTGACCAAAGAAGTCGAGGTCAGTGTTCGAAGAGGTGAGAGCTTAGAGGTAATCTAGCTGCACACCTCTTGGGGATATTGAAAGTCATGCGGGGCCGATCCCTCGTTGCCGTGTTTCGTCAGCACATAGCAGTGTCCAGTATAGTTGAAGAGACTCCTCCTTCAACACTCATGTACATATTCTTTTCTGGTACATTTATTACACACACTCACCTTTCAGAGCCAGGCTGGTGTTCACAAGACGAATTACCCAGCTGAGGTAGATTGTTTTCATAATTAGAGGTAGATTCTGTGAAACTTCCATAGGGTCGTCGCATTTCTAAGTGATGTACCTACTCATTCGAGTTCTTCTACCGACAATAGGTAATCAGGATCCACCTTCTGTATAGTGTTATGGTGAACTCCATCCTCCCCTGCAAGAATGTCACAATGACCATTTATGGGTATAGGCCTAGACACACTCAATATGTAGATCTCCAAATGTGATTTGTATACCTCTATCTAGGGCAAAGAATGCGCGAGTGGTTATGGACTAGCCAACTGATATTAAGTAATTCTCCATATCCAGTATATCACCAGTGAGATAGCAACACATCGACATGATTAACTTGCTAGGTGAGCTGAGGTAGTGACGGTGGAAGCCCTGAGAGGTTGTTCTCAGAAGTACAGTTCTTTTTTTCTTTTCTTTTTTTTTTTTTCTTGGCTCTTTTGTGTCAAACAGAGACCAGTAAAGGTACCTACTTATGACAAGATTTATAGTAGACCTCACTCGTTTTATATCTGCTTTATCATTGTCATGCTTTGTGAGGCGTGTCTTGTTATCACAGTTTTGACTCTAGTCTTTCCGTCCATTAACTCTCCCTGCTTTTTCTCAAGGGGTAGTTGGTGAGACTGAGGCCCTCAAGTGGAAACATTCCCATTTAGCCATTGCTATTCACATTCTAGGTTCTTGGCACGAATAGCTTCACAGCGCGGACCCCATCGTGATGTAGATGATTGAGAGATTGTTGAAAAGAGGAGAGGGTGTATTCTCCGTCACTGCCTGGCGTCTTCTAACGTTAATCTAATCTTTAAAGCATGCTCTATCTGTGTGTAAATATGAGCTAGATTAAAAATTGCCGCTCGAATTCAGCATATCAATGGAGTCTCGGAACACATCGGCGAGCCTTCCTATGCCCATTTGAGACTCAACAATTACTTGGAGTTCAACGTGAACTTTTGCTAACAAGCCCAACTGTGTAGTATCCAGTCCGGTTTCTTCTTAAGTGTTGAAATGCCAGCAGTCCTTTGTTTAGTGCAAGTCCAACTGTTTAACTATGCTTGAACGCACGCAAGTTACAGTAGTGAGAACTTCTTAGACCTTCTCACTAACAACGTGTTACTGCCTGTCTGCGTTTAATGTAATATGAGCTGAGCCGCGGGCATATCAGCGTTCGAAGGGTATTTTGTGGGAGGGGGGGCTTGTCAACTACTTTCCCGAGTTTCTTCAGTCCAGCGGTTTATAACAATCCACTGTGACATTCTGTCTTGAGTCACCATCCAATGTCAGCTTACTACATCACTTGGGATAATAGCGCTGTGGTGTACGTGCTACTTTACTGTATAGCGGAACAGCCAAACTGACGCACGCTTGTATGGTAGCGAGTCGAGGACGAGGTTGATTAGACCTCCACTGGATTACTCGCAAGTCACGGTGTGAATAGAGACCACAGGAGACATCAAAATTCTCCGGTCTGTACACTTCCACTTTGTATTCCCTGAAGGCAAGATAGACAAGATAGGTAGACCCTGTGACCCCAAGCGTCTACCTTTTCCGAATTGCGCCAGCCGAGACCGAATTTGGGGAGGTCTAGACAGATGAAGACAAGGCCATAACGCTACATATATCTGAGGCCCTTACCATCAAAGCGGCTTTGATATATGAAGATGCTACCCGACAATTTCTCCTCGAGTGCAAGGGGTCTCAGAGGTGCTTGTGCGGCCGAAACCTGGGAATGTCGAGAACAATCACCCTTAGTAATTCACTTCGTGGGCGCAGATATGCCAGCGGGTTAACGTATATCAAATTGCATATAGG